TTTACTTTTCTTTTTCTTTCTTTCTTTTCTTTTTCTTTTTCTTTTTTTTTTTTTGATGCTCAGAATCGAACTCACAACCTTGTGCGTGCCAGGCAGACACTTGTGCTATTGAACTATATCCTCGGCCCAGTTTGTTTTTATTTTAAAAGTTAGCTTTTATATATACAGATTAAATAATATGCATGTTGTCTTTTCATTTGTTTGTTCCACTCTTTTCATATATGTTCCTGGTGAGTCTGGGGATTTAGCTCAGCAGCATAAGCACCTGCCTTGCAAGCAGGCGGTTGTGAGTTCAATCCCTGGTACTGATATAAAAAATAAAAAAAAAAGAATTTCAAATATATATGTTCCTGGTGCTGAGGACTGAACCTGGGGCCTTGTACCCACTAGGCAAGCATGCTACCACTGAGTTACATCTGTAGCCTTGTTTCTTCTACTCTTTAGTGCAAGCTAGTTTGTCTAACCACACTCTAATGCCTGTGAACATTTTTCTTTGTAATAGATTGCCCATTAGTTTGAATGATAAAGTATATATTTACTTATTTTTGAGACAGAGTCTGGCTCTGTAGTTCAGGCTGGCCTTAAAACTTGTGACAGTTCTTTTGCCTCTGCTTTCTAGATGCTGAGATTACAGGTGTGTGCTGCCATGCCTGGCCATTGTTTTTAAAATTTTATATTTTAAAACAGAATCTTCCCTAAGTCAGTAAATTGCTCAGGCAGGGCTAAAGTGTACAGCCCTCTCACATCAGCCTCCCAGAGTGCTGGGATCACAGTCTGTACCATCACGCAGGTTGGATTTCATAATTTTTATATTCTTTTAATTGTGTAAAACAAAATAAAATTGTGTAAAACAAAATAACGTGTTAATCCCATTATAAAAGTTATTTGGCATTTTATACTGATGGGTATAAAATGTTGGAGTTTTTTGCTTTAGTTTAAAATAAAGCATTCTAAAGTTTTGGGCTGGAGGAACTGCTTAGTGGTAGAAAATTTGCCTGCATAAGGCCTTGGGTTTGATTTTGAGGACGCCAAGGAAAACTAATCCATCCAGGCTTTATTATCATATAATTACAACTGCCAAAAATGAAAAAGAAAGCATTTTTAAAAAGCTTCTGAGCAGCTAAAGAATTTGTGACAGGAAATCTACATTGTAAACTGGGTGTAGTGACACATGGGTGTAGTGACACATGCGTGTAATTCCAGCGGGAGGCAGCAGAATTGCTATGGGTTCAAGGCCAGCGTGGACTGCATAGTCAGTTCAAGACCAGCCTGAACTACATAGAAAAACCCTGCCTAAAAACAAACAAACAGGTGGTAAAATGGTTTCTAAAACTTAAGTTGCTAGAGAACTTTAGGCTCCAGAGCCTATTTTACAAACAGGTTGAAAAAGATTGGTTATAGTTTTCTGCTGCTCAGCAGGTTAGAAGTAGCAAGGAGATACATACTTTTGTAGCAATAAAAAGAAACAAGTAGGGCATAGAAAATACATCACAAAATGTCACAAGGTGTAGTGGCACACACCTGTAGTCCTAGCACTGGGGAAGCTGAGACAGGAGGATCACTGAGTTCAAGGCCAGCCTGTGCAACATAGTTCAAGACCAACCTTAACTACATAGGGAAGACTCTGTTTCTCTCTCTCACACACACACACCAAAAATCATAAAATGTTAAAACAAGAGTTTATAATTTCTATTGTTTTGAGACAGTCTCACTGTGTAGCCCAGGTTAGCTTCACGCTTGCAGTGATCTTCCTGCCTCAGCCTCACTTGATAAAGTGCTAGGATTACAGGCATGTGTCATCATCCCGGGTTTAAGACTTCAGAACCATGTAGCTAGAAGAAATAATTATATTGTGGTAAGAAGAAAATACAAATTATATTTATAGCTATACATTATTATTAAATTATAGTAGCATAGCATAACCTGCCAAAGAAGAAAGCTTATATTAAAATTTTTCTTTATTTTTGTGGTACTATACATCACACTAAACTTATGTCCCCCACCTTTTACTATTTCTAAGTTTTAGAGCAGTTCTAAGTTGTCTAACTAGATTTGAATATGTGATTCTCCTGCCTGAGTCACCCCTACTGTTGGAATTACATGCATGTGCCACTAGACCTGGCTGAAAAATACAGCTTTCACTATATAGTTCACTCTTAAGGGCTTTCTTTGTAGTGGAGAGCCAGTACGGGGAGTGAGCCTAGGGCCTTGTGCATGGTGAGCATGCACTGTACAACTAAACTGAATCCCTAGCCCTGGTATTTCCTTTTTTCTTATGTAAAAATTTACTTATGGAGTGGACTGTTCATTCTCAATGACCTGATAACTAAGTATATCGAACTTGGTTTAAAAATCTCCATACATAATTTTAAGGTTATTGAAGAATAAAGCTTAAAAGTGACTTTTGTATTGCTTCTCCAACAGACAGCTGGAAATGATCCTTACTGTTTTGTGGAGTTTCATGAACATCGCCATGCAGCTGCAGCACTGGCTGCTATGAATGGGCGGAAGATAATGGGTAAGGTAAGCTGTCATAATAAAAGGTGACTTGCCTAGAAATTTCTAAGTTGTTTGTGGTTTGATTCCTTTTTTAGAAGCATTATATTACTGGATGTAGTAGCATACACCTGTAATCTTAAGTACACAGAAGACTGAGGCAGGATTCCTATATGTTAGAGGCCTAGCCTGGACTACACAGCAAGATTCTGTCTCAAAAAAAAAAAATCATTATATTCACTTTATGGCAAACAGTCAATTATGTAGTCACATTTCATATTTAAAAGGTGGGGTAAAGCTTTTAGGAGGGGAGAAGCCTATGTATTTTCTCTGGTTCCTTGCACATAATAAAGTTTTTTTAAATTAAATTTATTGGTACATTTTAGGTATATTTAAATGTGCATGATAAAATATTAAAATATTTGTCAGATTACTCAAGTTTGAATAAAACATCTAGAAACATTGAACGCTAATGAGTAATAATAAAGGGAAAATATATTGGTTTTTTTGGTTAAAAAAAGTTATTTTTTATTAGTAGAGATGTGTAAAGATTAGGATATTTCTGACTGGGTGTACTGCTCAGTGGTAGAACCCTTGCCTAGCATGTGCAGTGCCTTGGGTTCATCCCCAGTACTGGAGGGAAAAAGATTATAATATCAGAGTGATTTGCATATATGTAGGTCAAAAGGTGATTGTTGAAACTTTGACCAGAACTGGTATCTCTTTGAATGTTTCATTTTAAAATAACACCTTTTCTATTTACTCATAGATGCAAATCTTGTTTTGGGGGTCAGGGATATAGCTCATGGCATAGTACCTGCTTGGCAAGCATGAAGTCCTGAGTTTGATTTCCAGTACCCGCCCCCCAAAAAACTTCATTTTGAACTTTTATTATTGTGGAGTTTAAATGTGGAAATTTTCTTTTAGGAAGTCAAAGTGAATTGGGCAACAACCCCCAGCAGTCAAAAGAAAGATACAAGCAGTAAGTATATTTTGCACCCTTTGAACATTTGTTTTTATTATACCCAGTAGTTTTATTGTAAAGCATATAAACATCATACGTTTGCAGTAATATTTGATCGTTATCCTAAGATATGATTTAATGTGTTTGTGTTAATAAATTTAAGAACAAATCTAATCTTTGTCATCAGGTAGTACCGTTGTCAGCACACAGCGTTCACAAGGTAATTGTATCTTCTTAAACATAAAATGAAATCTCTTGCAAAGGCTATTCACTAACCACCTGAAGTTTTTGTTTGATATTGGGGGGAGGTGGGAGGAAGGCGATAGTATTTCTGTTTGTCCCTTGGCAGTATTTTTCCCGTTCCCCATTGTTCACTAAATGAGGCTCGTCCACTACTGTAGCACTAGTTCAGCTTTATGACCCCTTAGTAGCTGATTTCTCAGAGATACTTTCACCACTTAAAGGGCAAGATACACTGCTTCCCTGAGGTCACCTGGACTGTATACCCAGATCTTCCAAGTGCTCGAGTTGCTCCTAAAACTCTTTCCCAAAGAATAGCCCAGTATGTTACTTAAGGCCTACCAAATAGGGGTAACCTTTCTTTCCAAGTATACTTTATCAAAATTGTTATAAATATATATATATATATAAATATATGTTCCTTTTATAATGTTTGTCCAACATTTTGCGTTTTTAAGTGTTTCTTTTTTGAGTGTTGTCTTTTGAAAAGTCACATATGGGATGATGATTTCTTTCCAATGCTTTTTTAATGGTTCTGATATAAAGTGAAGGGATTACTGTTTTCATTCTGTTGCCTTCAGTCTTAGTTCACTTGCACATGGATTCACATAAACTGAATGGTGTAATGTCTGGGCAACCAAAACTGTTGGCTTTTGAGAAAACTGTCAAAATACTTTAACATCAAACTGTTGCAATGCAAGGTATTTCTTTGATTGTTCTTCACAAAATATGGTTAAACCAAGTAGATCATGTAGCTAGCTTCAGTAAATTGTGTTAACTGAGGCAAATCTAGTCTACAGAATTCACAATACCACTATTTTATTTTAATTTATAAAGCCTTAATATAGTGGTAAAATGGATAAAAGTAAATAATTACTATTAGAATGGTAACTTTAATTTTCTTGCAGAACTGAAACTTGTTATATATGTTTATTCTCTTAGACTAGTATAATTGACTATAAATGGAAATGTAACTGAGTTTTCAGTTAGCTGTATCAGTCTTTTTAGAAGAATCTTCCCTGTACTGTTACCTTGATTTATGTTTAAAATTAATAGGATTTTTATACAGATAGTATAGTGTTTTATTTATGCTTTATATTATAATCTATAAATTAAGAATACTGTATTGGATAGATTGTAGTATTTTCCAGATTCTAACGTTCTATTTTTGTTTTCACTTCCCCTTTTATCCCCTTATAAGATCATTTCCATGTCTTTGTTGGTGATCTCAGTCCAGAAATTACAACTGAAGATATAAAAGCAGCTTTTGCACCGTTTGGAAGAATATCGTAAGTAACAGAAGATAAATAAAATACTTGTAGTTAGAAACAATTCTATGTAAAAGTAATTTGAAAATAGTTGTTATGAATTTGGGACACTAATTTTAACTCTTGAACATAGCGTATTAGATTGTTTAGAGACATTCAAGATGTTAATAGCAAAAGACTTCTATTAATGAATAAACCTTTAATTTTCAATTACCTTAAAATCCTTCTTCAACTAGCATTAGTTTTTAAGAGACATTTGTTACTGTACATGTTATAGTTTCTTACATAGGTTTTTTGCTAGCTTGATAATAATCTTTAGTAACAAACTTTAACCAAGCATTTGTTTGGGCACTTTTATGATACCATGCATTTTGTGTTGATATAATTTAACAACAAGAAAACCTTAACAAAAAAGCACTTGTTAAATGTTATTTCCTAGTTTTTGTCTATTTTTTTAATGTTAACAGAGTAGTGCCTTATAGGTTTTATAAAACACTATCTTGCTTGCGTTTGATATTTATCACACATTTTTTAGGTCCTTTCTAAGTATCTTTATTCAAGGTAGCATTCATCATAGAACTTTTAATGTTTTGAAAAGCATGCCATATTAGAGAGAGAATAACAAGTTTTTTATAATACTTCTTAGGAGTAATTGCTGAATTTAGAAAACAATATGTTGTTTTAGGAGTTTTGGTTGCTTTTTATTGTTTTAGCTAGAAAAGTAGTAAAAGGAAAATGCTAGTTGTGGTTTGGGTTGAACAGACCAACAGCAAAATTCAGGGGGTAAGGAAGCTGCTGGAAAGTAAATGCCAGGAGCGTTGGTGATGAATCTTAGGGCTTTTCATTTGAAGAGTTGTAGTTCATTGGCAACAGGATGCAAATACATAGTGACTAAGCAGTGGCCAATTTAAAGGTAGTCACAAGATTGGGGCTTATAGATGGTCTCTTCTATTAAATGACATTTGTCTTTGTGAGAACTGATTAGGAAAATAAAGCTTTAATTTCCTGATCCTCTTTGTGTCCTTTAGTGTTTCAGTAATGGTTAACTTGCTTTCAGATATCTAGACTTGAGTAGTTGGCTGTTTAAGGATTCTACAAGTCCCTGTATACAGAACTTGGGGTGCTTGCATTTTGTTGTACAGAATCTTTATTAGTTTTATCCTGTCCTCAGAGTAATCATGGGACCATAAGGGATTAAGAACCCTGTTTTAGAACCAGGGATTTTTAGCTCAGTGGCGTAAACACCTTCCTGGCAAGCACAAGGTCATGAGTTCAATCCCCAGTACAAATAAAAAAAAACCTCTGTTCTAGATATTTGCTGCTGCTTTTTCAGAGAACCTTTTGGAGAGAAAGTAAGAGCTGAATAGATTTTAGGGCTGACATTTCCCAAAGCTTTGAAATGAAAATATTTTTTTCCTAACATTCCAAACAAATTAGCTATTTTTTTAAATGCTTCAATTTTTGATTTAAGTGACTTTCCTTAAAGTAGGAATTCTAGTTTGGGCTTCACAAATATTGTTTAGTAATTGGCAGGTTTAAGTTATGTGACCTAATTTTAGCAACTTTATTATTTTAATCATGGATCAATAATTTCCTTTTGTTAAATACAGTATATTGGCCGGGCGTGGTGGTGCATGCCTGTAATCCCAGCACTCAGAGTTAGTAATCCCAGCAAAGAGTTAGCTTTCCTAAATTTAAAATAACCATTTAGCAATGAGTAGCATATTTTCTTGATTTTTATAATTGTTGTTATTAAGTTGACAACTATATGTTGAACAGTTCTCATTATAGTTAGATATTCTCTTATAGGGAGATTAAAGCAGTGTACAGTTCATTGGAAATAGTACAATGAGTGGTGGCCGGTTAAACTATTTAATATAAAAAAAATACTTTCCCGATTTTACATAGCTTAAACTTTTATTTCTTTAGTTTAGAGTAACGTATCAAATTTTGGAGTAGAAGTATATCAGCTACCAAGTTAAATGCATGTGTACCATATAGATAATGTAAGAAGGATTTTTACATATTGAGAAGTGACTTGCATTAGCTTTCCCTTTTCACCCGCACCTCTTGGTCATTTTGACTGCACTTAATAATAAAGCACCCCTAAATTAGTCTAAAATATGCTTATGTATACTTTAATTAATATAAAATTACATTGCATGGCTTTCTGACTTGGGTTTTTGTTGTAAAAGTGCCTGTTTTGTTCATGTGTCCTGAGAGAACAAGCATTGTGACATACCTGGCTAACTTAAAAGCAGATTGCCTGTGAAGCACAATTTGAGTCCAATTTTTTGAGGTATGGAGTTTTAGCTATCATGGCTGGGATTTTACTCAATCTCAAATAATAGGGCTCTGGTTATTTTGCAGAGTGTCTCTGAAGAATGGACAGAATTGCCCTGGCTAACTACAAGCTACGGTTCACAGTGGATAAATGTTGGCGTGCTTTTTTACTTTTCTGATTTTTTAAAATTTTGCTTTTATTATCTTGTAGTTTCCAATCAATCTTAATATGAATGCTATTATAAAATTCAGTATAAAATCTTTCTTATATAATTTAATACTAAAGTGTGTATCTAGTATTTTTCCGCAATGATTTAACATTTCTGAAATATCAAGTTCTCACTTTACCCTAGCCCAGAATGGGGGTGTAGATTGATTGAGAAAATGAAATTATTTAATTAGTTTAGGAAATATATAGTTTTTTAATTCTTTTAGTTTCCAGTTTTCTATTTTAATTTTTTAATGATTAGGTAGAATATGGTGTCAGATAGCAAATTATAAATTGCATGGTTAAAGAAAGCCGTTCATTTATTGTGCTTGGGAAACCTTTAAGTAGTTAAGTAGTAAATCATATGAATAGCTACTTTGACCATGCTTAATATATAAAATTATAAACATTTTGAAGTGGGAGGCAATTTCTGTGTAATACATACATATATTTAAGAAGTTACTGATTTGCATGTCTATAAAGCCTCATTTGCTAATACATGATAAATTTTATAGTAAAAGGTACATTTTCATTAAAGGCTCACTTTAATGATGGTGAACATGAGAATGAGTTGTGTATGAAATTCTCATTTTATGTCCAGAGGACAGTTAGCAAACCTAAACTTCTGATTGTTTCTGTTTGCAGAGATGCTCGAGTGGTAAAAGACATGGCAACAGGAAAGTCTAAAGGATATGGCTTTGTCTCTTTTTTCAACAAATGGGTGAGCGCAACGAGAAGTGCATGTGCAGTGCTTTAAGAGTAAAGAATGGAAACACTGTTTTATGACTTTTTCTTTCATCTGTTCATATCACTGATAATTAGCACCCTCCCTAAGAAGATGTCTTCTTTGTCCTGTTTATTCAGTACAGACTTATAACACCTGATTCATGCAAAGTACAGATAAAATGTTTCATAAAACATAAACAGAAGATGTTTAGATTATCAGCCAAAAGCAGATGTTGAAAGATTGTATTTATGGGAACTGGAAGTGTTGCTTAGTAGTTGTCTTGGTTATGTCTGTCTTGTGCTGGGACAAAATGTTCGACCCTCAAAATTGGGAAAGGAAAGGTTTATTTAGCTTACAGATTTTGGAGATTTCAGTCCATACTCAGCCGGTTTCTAGGCAGGGTGGTGTGGCAAAGGAGTAGCCATTCATGTCTGCTGTGGCAGAGTCCCTAACTGCAAGAGTGAAAGGACAGAAAGGGGAAAAGCACACTTCCTTCCCTCCCTTATACTGTGTGCTGGCTACCTGCCCCTGGGCAGGTGCAGCACTCATTCCGCCAGTCCCAGCGCTAGACAGTGAGCCAGTCACAAATGCTAGGCTCAGCTGCCTAGGAAAGACCTCCCCACCGTGACCACATGAGGCTTTGGGAGGACATACAAACACAAACCATAACAGTAGTAGAGCACACATAGCATGTTTGAAGCCCTTGATTCAATCCCCAACTCCAAAAAGGAAAGAAAATTCTGTTGATGAATTTAATTTGTTACCTCCTTTATTATTTTTATTTTATTTTTTTGGTATTAGGGATCAAACTCACAACCTTGCACTTACCAGGCAAGACTTGTGCTATGCCGCTGAGCTAAATCTCCAGCCCTCCTCCTTTTTTTATATTTCCATGGTAATTAAAAAGTAAGCAGATGCTATCTGACATGGTGTCATATGCCTATTAATCCTAGCATGTAGGAGACAGGACGCTGAGACAGCATTGTATTTCTCTGGGCTACATAACGCAGTTAGTGTCAGCTTGGACCACATAGCAAGAGCCTGTCTCAATAAACTAAAACATTAGGAGACTACTCTGATGGATGAAAACTTTTAAAAAATTATATATTAATACTTTTGAGATTTTACCTTATTTACCCAATTTCTTCGATAATTGAACATTAATTTGCATAGACTTTAAATTTCTAAGTTTTGCAGAGGAAAGGAAGGACATTGTAGTACTGATTATAGAGAGAATTCCATTATGTTATTAGGGAAAAGGGAAGAGGACACATACTTGTGCGATGTGGTTTTTGTCATCTTTTTTGTCAGTACTGGGTATTGAATGCAGAGCCTTTACATTGAATCGCATCTCATTCCCATTTTTTTTATCTGGGATTAGAGTATGTTACCATGCCCAGTTTTGTGTCTTCTTGTTTTTCCATGCAGGGATAAATAAAACTTAGAACAAGGATTCCTGTTTGGAGTGAGGTTTGAGAAATAGATTGAACAGTATACTTGTGTTGTACTTTTTAATGTTTTAGTGTTATGTGTTTCCAATTCAAATAATAAAGTGCTTTAAACCTTTTAATATCATAACTGACTATTATAGTACCAGATATTGAACTCAGCCTGTGCATGCTAGGGAAGCACTCTGCCATTGAGCTGTATCCCTAAACCATAACTGAATATTGAAAGTAGTTAAATGCATCAGGATCACACTTGCAAAGACACAGGACTCCATAGCAGGAGAATTTATATGCTCAAATTTGTAGCCAGGAAAACAATTGTAGCTGGCATGTTAATCCCAGCACTCAGGAAGCTGAGCCCGGATAATTAGGGATGTAAGGCCAGTTTAGGCTACATGAGTGTATATAAGTACAAAGAGATTATACCTTCTGTGTTAGAGTACCCAAGAATGAATTTAGAACTTTTACTGTCCAAGTTTTTTCTTACTTGAGTAAATGGAGTATTCTGATGATAATATATCATTTCTTGGTGACTCCTGATTAAATTTATAAACATTCTTTAGTATGCTATGATATAATGAAATATATACTTCTGAGTTAAAATATCTGTGCAGCTATGCCAATGGCTCAAAATAGCATTTTTTTCTAGCCCTATGTCTACTTATAGTGACTTAATGTCTATTGATTCCTAGCCATCAATTTTTACTGTCTGCTCACTATAACTGCTTGCGATCATTTACCTAATTTTTTTTTTTTTTTTTTTTTTGGTGCCGGAGATCATACTCACAACCTAGCACTTGCCAGGCAAGCACTTATGCCACTGAGCTAAATCCCTGGCCCCATTTACCGAAAATTTAATATCCAAATCAGAAATTTACTCTAAAAATATGATTAGCAAGTCTTGGCAAGAGCATAAAATTTATTGCGTAAATAAGCTGTTCTCAGAGCAACATTACATCTTGTGCCAGCCATAGTGGCACCTGCCTGTAATCCTAGCACTGTGGAGGCTGAAACAGAAGAATTACTGTGAGTTCAAAACCTGCCTGGGGTATGTAGCAAGACCTTGGCACATACACACACACAAAGATGATTAACAGTTGGGCTATTTCCAAATAAAGATAATTTAAAAATACCACTGCATTTTTGGAAAGCTGTCATACATTGTGTATTTTGTAAAGTACTTTGACTTTAACAACATATGTTAAAAGCTCCTAGTTTTCTTTACTATTAAAAGTTGTTGAACATCAACTAACAGTGGATTCTTTGTTGTTTCTAATGTTATGCGGAACAGGATGCGGAAAATGCCATTCAACAGATGGGTGGCCAGTGGCTTGGTGGAAGACAAATCAGAACTAACTGGGCAACCCGAAAGCCTCCAGCTCCAAAGAGTACATATGAGTGTAGGTGTATTGGAGAAGAAAAAGCAATGTGGAATTTTGGAGAAAGATACACTAGATTTTAAATGTTAGACCTGTTCCCGGAGACTTATTGCAGAAATAGATGAGAAGCAAATCAAGACTACTATTCAAAAATGTACTTAGTTTTCATTTTTGTAATTTTAAATAATAATATTATCTTTAATGTTAAGTCTCCTCTCAAATAGAGAATACGGGGTAATGTTTTAGACATTCTTGGGCGATGTTTAATCCTAAACTTGAATGTAATAAATATTTTGTAACTATTTTGCACAAGGTAAATACTGTGGTAGTATTTGTAGTAGTATAATTAATGCTGTTTTTATCCTTTTGAGCATTTTATCTAGGGAATTAAAGTTATAAAACTTTTTCCTTCCCAGCAAACACTAAACAGTTATCATATGATGAAGTTGTGAGTCAGTCTAGTCCAAGCAACTGTACTGTGTACTGTGGAGGTGTTACGTCTGGGCTAACAGGTATGGGAGCTTTTGTTGTGGCGTGTTGAAATTAATTTTTAAACCAAGAAACTTAGTATTTCTAGAATTATAAAATAACTTATTTTGGTTTCTTCTGTTTTTGTTTATTTTTCTAACAGAACAGCTAATGCGTCAGACTTTTTCACCATTTGGACAAATAATGGAAATTCGAGTCTTTCCAGATAAAGGATATTCATTTGTTCGGTAGGCTTGTTTTTTTATTTTTTGTTTTTTTAACTCTGTGTTACCAGGGATTAAATCTAGACCCCTCATAGTAAACTATATCCTATCCCCTTTTAATTTTTTTTTTTTTTTTAATTTTGAGATAGGCTCTCACTATGTCACTAAAATGCCCAGACTGAGCTCAAACTTGAGATCCTCCTGCCTCAGCCTCCCAGAGTGCTGGATTCATAGGTGTGTGTCACCACATTCAGATGGATTTTTTTTTCCCAAAAAGTTTCTCCCCTCAAATAATTTTTAAATACTTAATTTGGTGATTTTCTTAGGAATTTACTTTGTTTGAAGAAGTGTATGGCTTTCAGTTTTTAAAATGTTTCATTCATAAATATTTAAAAGAATGTATATTGGTGATTCTTAATATTATTTCTAATAGGTTCAATTCCCATGAAAGTGCAGCACATGCAATTGTTTCTGTTAATGGTACTACAATTGAAGGTCATGTCGTGAAATGCTATTGGGGCAAAGAAACTCTTGATATGATAAATCCCGTGCAGCAGGTGAGCGAGTCCTTTGGAAAATAATTTCTGTGCTAATCATGTTTATTTTAAAGTGAATATTGAAAATCACTTTTAATGTTTCTAGCTCAATTCATGGTATATAAAGGCTCTACAGTTCCAGAGTGGTGTTTCATAGGTTGCAGTGGTGACATGATGAGTGTAACCATCTCATTTGACTCATGCTTACACGGTGGATTTTATTTATTTTTTTACACAGTGGATTTTCAGATCTTCTGACACATCTAACAAGGCATTAAATCTTCTTTTTTTAGTATTTCATAAATTTATTCACATATTACTTGAAGAACATACAAGAATGTTTGTCTCAACTGCATAAAAAATAAAGTAATAATAAATGTGTTTAGAACTTGGCATTTTATTCTAGATTTTGCAGGCTTTTGTTTTCCCAAACTACTATAGTGGTCAGACTTGATACCACAAAGATTTCTGTATGGAAATGGTGAATGGAGCATAGAATTGAGAGTACAAAAATGCTAACCTTTATAGGTTTTTAAAAATAAATCAAATACAAGAGTAAATTGTATGCACCTGTAATCCCAGCATTTGGGAGGCTGAGGCAGGAGGATTACTATGAGTTTGAGGCCAGCTTGGGCTACATAAGCAAGTTCAAGGCCAGCCTCGGCTACATAGCAAGACCCTGTCTCAAAAAAAAAAAAAAATTCTTGTCTTTATACCTTCTTAATCTAAAGGAAACAATCATGTGAATAGATTACCAAACACCTAAACATTATATTAAATTCAGTATTTATTATAGGAGCATTATCTGCTGCCTTTAAAGAATTGTCATATGGAGCATCTTGTTGAGTTTTAGCAATATAACCTCTTTATTGTGTCATTTTAATTATAATGATGTCCTTAATGTTTCAGCTAACTGTTTTTGGATATCAGGGCTGGATATGTACAAATAACTTGAAGTAGTACTGAAGTATTTGTTGTAATTTTTTTCTAATAGCAGAATCAAATTGGATATCCACAACCTTATGGCCAGTGGGGCCAGTGGTATGGAAATGCACAACAGATTGGCCAGTATATGCCTAATGGTTGGCAGGTACCTGCATATGGAATGTATGGTCAACCATGGAACCAACAGGGATTTAAGTAAGCATATTTAATCTCTTTTTTATATTAACCTTTGGAAATATCAAAAGGAAATTTTAAGTAATCAGGTAATGTGACCTCCTATGTACAGTAAAATATAACTCTTAACCTATGAAAGACTTTAATTTAGAGTAGGTTTGTTGTTTTGGTTTTTGTCTTTTTGAAACAGGGTCTTGCTATGCAGTTCAGGCTGGCCTTGAGCTCACTTTGTTTTTTGTGTGTGTGTGTTCGTTTGTTTAGCTCACTTTGTAACCCAGGCTGGTTTCGAACTTGCAGCAATCCTGCTGCCTCAGCCTCCCAAGTGCTGAGATGACAGGCGTGCATCACCACGTCTGGCAGAGTAGTTTTTAATTCATAGTTGTAAATAATTTCTCATTAGAAATTTGCTTAGAAACTGGGCATGTTGGCAGCTGTAGCAGTTACGAGGCTGAGGCAGCAGGTTTGATGCAAATTTGAGGCCAGCATGAACTACATAATGAGACCCTGTCTCAAAAAAAATGTTTTGTTTTGTTTTGTTTTGTTTTTTGCCTAGAAATATTTTGCCTTAAAGTATAATCAGGGTCATACAAATTTTGGTGATGTTTGGTAATAAATGGAGTAAGACAGTTAAGTGCTTAACAGTTGTTAAGCCTTTTGCATGATTAATGATTCCTTGGCTATTCTTGGGTACACATACTTTCTCCAAAGGAAGAGCATTTGTTAGCATTTAACAAACCTCATTCCATGTGGCTTCTGGCCACCAGAACACAGACGTACACTCAGCTTCCTCCTGGATGGCAAGCTTCGTTGTGCACCCTGAAGTACACCATTTTACTTACATTTCTGAAAAACAGGCTGGAAATAAAAATACTTCACTGGTTAAAAATTATCTCGTAAAAAAAAAAAAAAAAAAAAAAAAAAATTATCTCGTGACGGTAAAATCTGTGAGTTTACATATACTAATTTATTAATTTCTTCCAGTAACATAAACACTAGTTTTGTTGTACTAAATGATGGAGTTCCTTTCAGGAACTCCACCCATCATATGTCCAGATAGAGATGAGATGAGATGAGAGATGGTTTTCCTGAGTTGAGAGGGAATGAATATAACAGGTTAAGAGTATTTTTTTAACTGTATTTGTCAGAAAATATAACTGCCTTAATTAAATGTATGGGGATGTTTGTTTTCAAAAGCTTTTATTTGTACCGTTACCTTCCCAGGCATAGTAGTGTTTCTTTTTTTTGGTAGTGGAGTGGTGGGGATTGAACTTAGGACCTTGCCTTTGCCCAGCAGGCACTTGTGCTGCTGAGCTAAACCCCAGCCCAAGTAGTGTTGCTTATTAAGTACATTTCCCACTTCTCCAGTATTTTTTACTTGCTTTTGGGATTGCATCATGTTAACCAGTGGGTCTCCTTGCCCCTCTGCTTCTTCCATATCCTCTACCAGTCAGACACAGTCTTCTGCACCTTGGATGGGACCGAATTACGGAGTACAGCCGCCTCCGCCTCAGGGCCAGAACGGCAGCATGCTGCCTAATCAGCCTGCGGGGTATCGAGTAGCAGGGTATGAAACCCAGTGAGAAGGGACTGCAGACTCTGAAGCCAGTGGCTTGAGGCTACCAGAAGTGTAGTGAAGCCGTTGTTTACTTAAAGATTTATCAAATCAGTCAGTGCAAATATCAGATACAATGTATTTATTTAAAAGATTCATTTTTTAATCATGAAATTACTTATCATCCACATTGTTTTAAAAAGAAACAAGATGCTGGATGTCTGCCAATTTTTGCCTTCATTACCTGTTTTGATAAAGTTTCTCAGATCCTTGTTTCAAATACAAATGCAGGGATTGCTGCCACTTTTTTTAAAAGTAAGAGGCAGAAAATTGCACAATGTTGAACTTTTTTCCACTAAAGTAGTATGCAGTTCTAGTTTGCATTCCTGATATGATTTAAAACATGTAATATAAAGATGTAAAGAAAGAGAAGAAGAGGAGGAGGAGGAGGAGAAAGAAGAGGAAGAAGAAGAAAAACCAAAACTGCAAAGTCTAGAAGTACTTTGCAATCTTCAGCTTCTGCACAATTCTGTTTTAGGTTTTAAAAAATGCATTGTTTGAGCAGTCCCATCTCCACTGTTAACCCTTTAGGCTTTTTTTAAAATATAAATTATTAGTTTACATCATTTTGTATTTACATTTTTCAGAAATTTGTCTTGCCTTATTAAAGTTCTGTAAAATACACTTAAACGGAAAAAATGATGTTCACCTAGATTGAAAGCTTTTTCAGATGGGTTGATAATTGTATTCATCTTGTGTTTTATATGAGAAGGTGCCTCAAGAATTCCCTGTTGGATTTGTTTAAAAGGATTTTTATCTTCTGTGATAAACTTTGCTGTATACCAGGAACTGTAAAAACAAACCTTGTTACTAAAGAAAATCTCTGAAATGTGATTAAGTTCTTGCCATGTTACTTCCATGTGTCAGCTTCTACATTTACATGTTATTATTTCATTATGTAAAATGTTTTCTCAATTTATTAATATTTTGCACACTTAGCAAACTTTGTATGTCATTTCCTTCTTAAAGGCATCGTGGAGGCTTGACATGAGATTTAGAAGTTTTAAGTTGTTTGCATGTGAATATCAAATACATACTTTGGTAGTTTTTGAGTATAAAGTCATCTGCTCTTGTTTTTTCAAGAATTTTGAGACACAAAGTTGTATGTAAAGGAATATTTTAATTTTCCATTTTCTAGTTAGATTTACTTTAAAAGAGTAAATCAAGTGAATTTTAATGTGTACAAATAAGTGGTAGCTGTGAAACTGTAGAATATCCTTATGTCAGGCTTGGGGTTCATTGTAAACTCCAGAATTACCCTAAAGGACCAGCCAAGCAAAGCATTTTTTACATGTTCAGAGGCCAAAAGATAAACAAACAAAAACTTTAAAATCCTACCTCCTTAAAATAGCCTTCAAAGAAGAAAATCCTCAGTGCAATCATCATTTTGATTCTTGTGGTACCTGTTCTCTTGGAGTTCCCAATTTGGGAGAGGGGCCTCCAACCATTAAGATACTTACTCTTTGATGGCATTGTTCTAGCTTTGAAATTTCTGGTACATTTCAGAGTCTTTTAGTTTTGCTTTTATTTTCAGTGAAGGTCAGAAACCATCTTCTTCCTTGACTTACAGAGGCAAAGGGTCCCTAGAGTATATATTTGAGTGTTTGATGGTTTTTAACACCTTCAGAGAACTCCCAGCATTTTATCTAACAATAACAATAAGAACAACAAAGACCTGTGAAATCCTAAAACCTTTTTGCGTGTATCTTCCAGGTAGAAGCAAAGGACACTTAAGCTGGTCTCTAAGCCAATACATTTTAAACCAGAGCCCAAGAAAGACAGCTTTAAGTATATCATTCTCTGGAGCTCGATTCTATGCAGTTGTACTGATGTTTCATTAAGTCACTGTGTATTTTTAAGTATTAATACATTAAAAGTTGCTTTATGGAAGATGAGTAAAATTTTAGAATACATGGAAATTTTATTTCCTTGTTTGTTAACTTCTATAAATCAGGGCATGCAATCAAAAGCAGCTTAAATGAAATACTCAAAAATAAAAAAATAATCAGGAAGCTATTTTTAGGTTCTTCTGACTTAAGATTCTATTTTAGGACCCTCATTTTTTCTCTTAGAAAAAAAGATTTTATTTGCTGTATATCTCATGGACTGTAGGGTGAATTGTTGGGAAAAAGTAATCTGACTAGAAGTACAGTTTTCATTTTCACTCTCAAGTAATAGTTTTTATTAGCCAATATATTTTCTTACTGTATAAATCTTAAACTCTACATTGACTACTTTTTGAGAAGTGATACCAGTATTCATGATGAAAAGGTTACTACTGAACAACTGCACATTTCAGAAACATTACTAACTTTGATTTAAATCTTCATGTTAAAGCAAATCATTTAAAGATTTTTCAGTCCAAAAAATTATACTGGTATTAGTTTCAGGTAAGGAGATTAAAGTTCTTAAAGTGATTTTATTCTTTGCAATATGCATTCAGATTTTACTTTCTGGTACTGTAAAGAACCTAAAGTGATTCACTCTTAATGGGTCATTAATCCAGAATTCCTTACCCTGTTTGGATATTAAAGTTCCTTTATGTTTTCTATAACCTGTGAGATCTTCTTGCAGTGATTATTGTGTGTGAGAATTTTATTCACTTTGGTCTAGCCATGTTGTTATTTACTTTAAATTTTATTCTGGAAATGATAATTTGCATCAAATTATAGCTTAATACTACAGAGAATTTGCATTCTGCACACTTAATTATAAGACTAGTCTCTTTTTCCTTAGTATCATCTGTTTATTGAAAATGAGATTCACATTTTAGTCTTTTCCTCCTATTTATCCCTCTATTCATCTGCCTTCTATATGTGCATTATAGTTCTGTTCCACTTTAAAAAGCAGTTGAAAAGGGCTAAATTGCATTTACAAAGTTGTTAGATTTACTTAGTACTATAGGGTGCTCTTGAAGTTACAGTTGACTTAGAAAAACAAAATGTGTTTATAGGAACTGAAACAGAAAACCTTTTAGAGAGTGATGATTTCTAAAAGCAATTACAGTAGTACTTTGGTTCACAAATGTAATTCATTCCACAATTATGATCACAGAATTTGTTCAACGATGCTGGTTGTATCCAATTTGCAAGCATGTGCAGTTGTAGAAAAAAATTGGTGAGCCAAGATTGTTTGTGTTTCTTTATGAAGGACAATAATCTTAATGCATTTTCTCTCGTCCCTCTTGTATTTAGATTTTGAAGAGCATAGCTCTAATACTGTGAATTTTAAGAGCCTTAATTAAAATGAGTATGTCACCAGGTATGGTGGTACATACCAAAATCTCAGTACTCAGGAGACTGATGCAGGATGATTGTTATGTATTTCAGTTAGCCTAAACTACAAATCAAGACCCTATCTCCAAAAAAAAAAGTATGTCTCAATTGAATAGGGTCCCCCCACTTTTTTTTTTTGAAATTTCATCTATGGCAAGAGATTAACCAAACTTAAAACCTGTAAGTATTTATAGTTGTTGTAGTCAGAACTTGCAAGAAGAACAATTACATATACGTAATTTATAGTATTTTTAAGGACACTCAGGGACTCAAATACAAAGAAAGAACAAGAAATCTGTCCATAGCACTAATGACCTAGAAAATGCAGCCAAGGGCCTGGGTTCCATGGTAATAATTGCATGAATCCGGTTGAAAACCTAATGCTCATGATAAAGACTTATGAAAGTCTATTTCATGAATCTGCGCTGGGAAGACCCAAAAGTCAATGGTGGAAGCCAGAAAGGCTATACCAGCGGAGTGAAGAATCAGCAAGCCGAGGGTTCTGTGCCGGAGCCAAGAAGTGACACTCAAACTAAGGACCAGGACTCTCCTGAAAAGTACCTCAGCCATCCTCAGTGACAGTGAGGTCCTAAGGTCCTCCAACAATGAGAACAGCCAAATACCTGTCAGGAAACCAGCAAAACAAACTTCTGGAGACAACAGCACATATCTTCCCCTCCAGAGCCAGGGAGCAATGCTCAAGGATCAGAGCTCCCCTACGGTGATTCTCAGCAATAAGGTCATAAGCACCTTTGATGATAACTACTGAGTTCAGATCAAGGGAGCCAACATGACAAGCTCCTCCAGGAGAACCAACAGCTCCAACACCAACACTTAGGAGAACCCACAGCACTACTCTTGCTCCCCAGGTCTCCTTTTTATGCTGGCAACAGTCCTCAGGTAGACTCAGCACCGTGCTGATTCAGTTCAGTTGAAGTTTAAGTTCATCACCAGTTACCAATCCACTACCATAGTAGAATATTTTGAATGTCCTTCAATTATTACAAAAATTCTACTCTGCTCTGTTATCTGTAGCACTGGCTTCAGAGATGAGGTTTTTGGCAAAATTAAGCAATATTTTAGAAAAGATAGCCTTTTTCTTTCTTTCTTTTTTTTTTTTTTTTCCAGTACCAGGGGTTGAGCTCAGGAACTTGCGCTTGCTAGGCAGTGCTTATGCCACTGAGCTAAATCCCCAGCCCCCAAATTAAGCAATATTTATGTCCTCTAAAATTGGAGGCTGATGTTACTCTTAACAGTAACCCAACCCTAAAAGGAAGCAGTAGATTTCTTTACTAAGGCTATGTTGTCTAGAAAATAGGGACAGATTGTGTTTACTATATAAATGAGTTTTCTGGCTCCTTGTCCTTGTTCAGCTCTAAAATACCAACAGCAGGATATGTGCCCAACAAGCAGGATGTTGGAGGATCTTTTTATGGGAAAACTGAATAACTTCTGAGAGAGAAGATAGGTCCTCGCAAAAAAGACAGCCAACTATCACCAGGAAACGGGAAAAATCTCTTTAGCTCTACGCAAAAAGCAGATAAAAAAAATCAGGACATTTCAAAGGACTGTAATAAACTCAGATAACTTCTAGAAATCAGGGCAGGATACTAGTAAAATAATACAGTGAAGGGAAGAAATAAAAAGATGGATTCAGGAAGTTTATACACAAGTCAGAGTCTAAGAAGAGAATTTTGTCAGTGGTAGTAGGGACTGAACCTTGGGCCGTCACACTGAGCGATAATCTCCAGCCCATTTTTCACTTTTAACATGGAGACAGGTCTCACTAAGGTGGTAACTTAGTTGACTGGTCTTGAACTTTTGATCCTCCTACCTCAGGCTCCCAGAGTGCTAGAATCATAGGTGTGTAGTAATCATGCTTAACTAAAAGGAAAATTTGGGAAAATGGGGCTGTGGATAAACTTATTTAAAAATATAAGAAAATATACCTGGTGAAGAGTTTCAAGATCATAAAAATGTTACTGATTTAGGACAATGAAGACGTACCACGTACCACCATGCAATTTTAGGACACCAGAAACAGAATCTCCTAAAAGTTGCCAAATGACAAAAGGATAGATAACACTGGCTTTCAATGCTTATCAGCAGTGTTGAAAACTAGGATTCTATGGGGTGCTACCTTCAAAGGCTCGTATGAATGACTTATCCAAGTATACTGTCATAGGTGGCAACAAAATAAAACTCTTGAATATGTAAGCTCTCAAACCTTTTCATGCAACCAGACGTGCTCATTACATTGACAACACATCTGTAACCCCCACCACTCAGGCAGGAAGATTATGAATTTGAGGCAATTTAGTGAAAGCCTGTCTCAAACATAAAGAACAGCAGTCAGCCAGGCATAGTGGCATGTACCTGACTATAGTCCTGCTCCCAAGGGTTCAAGACCAGTCTGGGCAATTCAGCAAAGCCCAGCTCATAATGTAAAATTATAAACCAGAAAAAGTAAAATAGAATATCTAGAAGTAGAATCCAATATAGGAAGGAATAAAGCAAAATCTTGAGTTGGTTTGTAAAACCAGCATCCAATCTGGATTGACAGGCACAGATAATCTCATGCTAAGAAGGATCTTGACCTAGAATATAGTTTTTGGCTTATTCAAGAGGGTTTAATTGGTGTTATGCTAAGAAGAGTCAATGGGAAATTTCAGATGGGTGGTACCAGTAATCCCAAACCTCCATTTTATCCCTTGGGGAAGTATGCAGAATTAGCCATTGTGAATTTGTGATCCCCAGCACATAGCGAGACTATGACTCATTATGCCTCCTGCAAAAAAAAAATTCTTACTGTCTGAATTGTGTGAAAAATTTATACTGGACCTATGGGGATAAATAAGGAAAGAGAAAATCTCTTGCTTAATTGTCTCATTCTTAAAATGAAAATGGTATAATCTGATCCACCAGAGGATTGAAACAGCACATATAAAGCAAACAGTAAACACTCAAAATGCTGTCTATACATAAATTCAGAAAAGAGTTGAGAGCAGTATTTATGAATTACGTTATATGGGTTTGCTTTTAAGTGGCCGTGGCACAGGACTGTAATCCCTGCATTTGGGAGGCCGAAGCAGGAAGACTGCAACTTCAAGGACAGCCTGAGCTACATAGTGAAACCCTGTCAAAAAAAAAGAAAAAAATAATGTAGCAAAAAGAAAACGATTTTGTGCATTCTGTCTTATAATCATTTCTGGTGTAAGTTGGTTTTTTTTTTATATGAGTATTTGGTAAGGAATCAAAAGATAAAAATGCAAAAATAATGTAAATTCTATGTAATTGGTGAATACTAATGATGGAAGCTCAAGAAATGGACCTTGTTATGGGCTGGGGATTTAGCTCAGCGGCATAAGCACCTGCCTTGCAAGCAGGCAGTTGTGAGTTCGATCCCTGGTACTGATAAAAAAGTTAAAAATTAAAAAAAAAAAACTTTAAATAGATTTGTCCAAAAGCAATCAAGTGCCTTTAAGCCTTCCCATAAATCTCAAGATATCTTTGAAAATTACCTAAAGAAACCTGATTTTCATAATGTAGAGCCATTTTAGTGTTCTCCTTTGATTTAGTGCAATATACCAAAGTTGAAAAAAAGTAGGTCCTTTGTTTCCTTTTGAATTCCACAGGGTTAATAATTGGTCTTTGAAAAGTTATCAAACCAGGTAGGTTACTATTTGAAGCAATTACTGAATTATGGCTTCTGTCTAGATGTCCCCACACCCTCATGCAGCCACAGGTGGGGCTTCTTCAGAGTTGGCTGGATCTCCCAGGGTGTGGCTGACTCATGGTACAATGCTAGAATTAAGGGTGGGTGATTACTAAATCAGTCCAATGACTGGTTTGACACAGCTGAAACCCTAGTAGCCTACACAGAATATAAAGGGAGCAGAAAGAGGCTGCTAAAGTCTCTTGGACTTGCTTGCCACTTGCCATCTGCCTGCCCTGCTTTGCCAGGCCACCCTGCCTTGGAGCCAGCTGGTTACAGACCAAAATCTCTACAAACTGAGCTAAATAAACCTTTCCCCTTTAATTTTGGGTGTTGAGTGTTTTGTTTCGGCAATGAGAGAAAAGTAATGAAGACATTGCAAACCTAAATTAGTACTTAGATGGGTACCATCTTAGACTCTTCTTGGCTATGGATCCTCTAATCAGGGTCTTCTGGAACTTACTGGATTTGGAGCTGGCTGTGGTGGTGGGTGCCTCTAAAACCAGCACTCTGGGAGGCTGAAGAAGGACTGAAAATTCAAGTCTGTCCTAGGCAATTTAGCAA